TAAAAACAAATATACCCAGCGTCACAGATGTTCGGTTTCCGTTTTTGTTCTCGACGTAAAAACAAAAAAAAAAAAACTCGCTGGAGTTTTCATCGGCATACGTAAGGAAGGGGAAGAAATATGTCGAGTGATTATGTATAGATACATAAGTAGGTAATTTTTAATTTTAAATCAAACCTTTCGACCTATGGAATATTTCCTTAATATACTATAATAAATTATCTTATGGGCCAATATACAGTATTATGATTTATGATTATCAACCGTCTGTGAATAACAATAATTGTTGTTGTCATAGTTGCGTTATAAACGTGTCGTTGTTCCATCTGCAGTAATATACCTAATATGGTATGTATATTATAATTATTCGTAGATCGAGTGGTACAGATTTATATTTGTTTATTCTTTTATAGCGATATGCAGAGGACGTTAAAAGATTTAGGGTTTTCCTAGATTCATGAAATATACAGGATAATACTACTTAGATAATTCTTCTGTCAGTTAAAAGTTTAAAACGTATATCTATGTTTGAAAAAGCATTAAGGTTTTTGAACATTTTCTTCTTTTTGCATATAGGTAACCTGAAGTATAACCAATAAAAACATAAAACAACATTAAAAAAAAAAATTAATTACATTTATTGACGTTATCATTATTCAAGTTTTTTTTTTTTTATCGAGTGCAACATCATATATTTTTAATAATTATTTTTGCAGCATTACTGAAAAATGTCAACTTAACTTAACTCAACTAAAAATCATCATTAACATTACTTGTCCAGACTTGAATGTAGTATACAAGTTTTATTATTTAGAAATACCTACTTATTTATTAATATTTATACAAATATTTGATTTTATATGTTATGTATAATTTATGGTATCATTAAAATATATAATAATATTATGCATGTATATTGTGTGGTATTCATTTCGAGCACAGATAATTTAAAACGTAAATATTAATTTTCATACTTTTTAACACATATGTTTTAATTTGTTTCATTGTTGTTATTTATTTATTTATTTATTTTTTTAACCGTTTACAAATAGTTTTGCGAAAATAATTACAAAACTTTATACCATAATAGCATATGCATACAACGGCGTATTTGATACATACAATGATTTTAATTAACACTGTTTTATGAAAGATTGCAGAGTAGTCGCCAGTCGGTTAAAATGTTGCGATACTGTACAACCATGAGTGTACGGTTAGGTTAGGTCCGCACGATTGTTTACAAATCCACGTGAATTAATATTTGATTGGTAACAAAGGGACACGCAAAAACATATTATTATTAACACATTACGGCTCTGCTTAGAGACGTTGATTAAAATAATATTATATTATACTACGCGAGTGATGGGAAACAATACAGCATGTGGGTACATACCATATTATATGAACATTTTGTCTCTATAATATAATATAGAGTGATACATTATAATATTATAATATCGTATAATTAGCCCATTACTTGTCTTATATTTTATTTTATATTTTACGCGAAGACGAGAATACTTCGATATTTGTAAAAAAAACAAAAAAAAAAAATAGTACATAATATATAAAATTTTATTTTTTTATTTTTTACAATACGATATTCCTAACTTGAGCTATCCGCATCTGGTAATAATAAATAAATATAACATAATATTATTATGAAATGGGGTACCTTTATGATATTATTTAATATTCGTTTTCCACGATATTCTCCGTCTGGTGTAGCTAATAGAATTGTACGCTCAAAGCTACCACCGTCGGATCCACGGTTACATTATTTGTGTTTTAGCAATTTTCCCACTCGTGACGATATGGAAATAATATAAATCCGAACACCTATGACACGGGCGCCATTCCGTCTGCAGTCGACGGGTACCTACATCAATTTCATAATGTAGTAGTATATTATTTTGAAAAACTCATTCGAGGAGGATACGAGTCGTCCATTTTCATCAAACTACGAATAATATTATACGCACTGTGGCCCACTTAACATGCTGTTACTGCACCTATCATCGTGTATTCCTCTAACGCCTTATGAATTTATTCGAATTATAATTTTTTGACATTTTCAAGTACCTATTAGTGCTTATTTTAGGACCATATTTTGAAATTCATTGATTATTCATACGGTTTAAGGAGCGTCACGTGGGGCGAATCCTTCTTAGATTCTGAGTTCTGACCCACTGAGCAATGAATAATATACTGATATTATAATAAAGTGTGGGTTTTTTTTCTATCTGTCATCAACTTTAGGTTAAAATCAAATGCTTTGATTTTCAACTCTGTGATGGTTTCTGGTAGCAAGTTAAAGGATCTAGTCGCTACTTAAGGGGGGGGGGGGGGTGTCAAAAATAACAGTCTCTTCTCGATGAATTTTTTTCATATGCGATAATATATGCTTTGAATTTAAATTTAACAAAGGTGATATATTACAGTGACTTAATTCGTCCATGACGAGGTACACTCGACACTCTCTACTAATTACTATACAGCAGACAGGTAACAGACTTTTTTTTAATGAGAACCGTCATGTTGTTTTTGTGTAAATTGTTAAGCATATGATTATTTTGAAAATGCATTCAATATATTTTATTATGCATCTACATAAAAATTTGAACCAGTGGTTTTGCGTTATAATAACTTTAAGTGCTAAGAATCATAAGTCCACCATAACAGGTATGTGTAGTGTATGAACGTCCTACCTTCCTCCCCTGGGGGAGGGGATTATGATCGGATTCCAAAAGTATACCTAGGTTTATACTATATTACTATGTATATTAATATTATTATAGAGAATAAAACAACATGAAAAGTCAACGACTAGTAAACTACATAGTATAGTATAATTATCGATTAAATATAAAGTATTAATTGTACGATCGAGTACCCTCGTCATACATTTTCTGATCATATAATTCAACGTTGTCAAGAGTACATAATCGTAGCAGACCCTTATAGGAGGTCATACATATTTTATTGTCACGCTCGTACTCTGTATATCGATTATAAATAAGTGTTTTGAAAACCAAACGCTTCTGACGGCCAAACAATTTATTATTTATTTCGAATTTTGATCTTTTTATCAATAAAGAATTGGATAGTGATGGTGCGAGACGTGCCTACAAAATGACAATCACGGTGTCGTTGGCGCCGTTAAGTCTCGCGAGACTACGAGGGCTTCTCTTCGTCCGAATTTCCGAGATATTTCACAGGTTTAAGAGCACACGAAACATTATCATCGTAGTGTGCACGCGACTGCAGATGACGAAAGTCATGAATGTCCGTGCACGGGATTTGATAGACGATGTACCACCGAAACGACCAGACCTCGATCGGCGCATCGGAAGTATAAATAATAATTAATAATGATAATAATAATAATCGAAATGCGAGTGTGCTTGAATCGCGAGCGTGGCCATGTGGGTGCGTGGGGGTGCGGGGCTGCGAGCAAAACTTCTCGCACCCAACTATATACTATCCACCCACACTCGGCGGTGCTCCGTGCCTTTGTATTGATTTTTGTTAACACTTTTACAGCTATATTTTAATAATATACCACTACCTGGCCGCTGCAATCACAGAATAAACCAATCACTGTGGTGTCATACCGACAAAGAATTATTCAATTATTATATGTATAAGAAGCACGTTCAATCAACTAATTCGTCATTTGTATCCGTTGGCCATTTATTTTAATTATTCGAGACGTAGGTACATCATAACATGCGATTACGACACAAGTTACTATGCGCGGGAAATGTCGACTTTTTAAACTCGGCGAACCGTAGTTTGGATATTTTGAATAATGCGTATTGTATTGTGTGCATAGAAAACAAGCCATTTTAATTTAAAGGTGCTTACAGCTGCAAAATAATCGAGAGTGAGTTCTTACTGTGACGACGGAGGTGTACTTTTGCAAAGTCTTTATTATTTTTTTTTTTTTGTAACTCTCTTTCTCTCGCTCTCTGTCAGACATCCCATAAATCGATCCAGCACACAACAACGAGTTACGGTGCGATAAAATAATAATAATAATCGGTTATATATATATACACGCACGAGAGCCGGACTAGAGCGCTGAAAGTTAATATCAGCGTAAAATATGGTTTTGTCGACACGCGCGTTTTATATATATTTATTATCAACGGACCGCAATAATCCGGCCAATGTTATATTAGACGCGTTACCTATGTTTAATATTATATAGGTAATACCTATTAGGTATGTAATACACGTGTGTGTGTGTGTGTGTGTGTGTGTGTGTGTTTATGTGTGTGGGTGGGTGTGTGTATTATTATCGTGCTCTGTTGCTATACACCGCGAGTAATGCGCGTCTACCCGATTTATCGTAAACGCATTCAATACTGTGCTCTTTAAATGTAGGTACTATATTATGTGGCCATGCAATAATAATTGCAATACAAACAGCATTGTACGGCATCGATTCAATACTTTGGAAAAATACAAATAACTTACACAATACACTGTTTTATTATTTATAGAATAAACTATAGTTATCTACTTTCTACTTAAATACAATGACGTTGAGATTCTAATGCTCACATGTTATAATAATAATGAAATTATATTAGATGGGTACATACGGTGATTATAGTACCTACAGCTAAGTTAAAAACAAACAAAACACAAGTACGTGTCTCCACCCCTCCCCGCACATTTATAACAAATAATAAAACATTAATATTCGCATTATGTTATTAAATAACAACTTTTTTGTTGTTGTTGAATGTTTGATATATAATATAAAACAGTTAATATCCAACGATGTTGATAAATTTTCCCATGAACTTTTGCAATGTGAATGTATTAAATGGAATAAATAATATTATAAAAATGTACGACACGTCAAATTACTTCATTATTAATCAGTATTTTATAATTATTTTATAAATCAGTCTCGATGGCTGGTAATATATTATTATAAACATTTATTGGCTTATATCTACTTGGCATATTATAAATTCATTTAGTTGAGCATAAAAATAAATACAAAATATACGAGTTAATGGCCAAAAAAATGTTAAAGTAAATACACAGTAAAAGGTTCATAATATTATATTATGATATTTTCTCGTTAGCACAGCAGTGAGACTGACACATTTAGTACCCCGCATAAATTATATAGACTGTTAATATTCCGTGTCGAGTTTCTTGGGAAAGCTTCGGACTTGTTTCTGCAACACAAAATCTAAATTAAATAACGCTTTCTTTTATATATACCGTCAGACACGACGACTACGTGGCACCTAGGTGGGGTTTCCCACTGGGATTTTACCGAAATTTCTTTGAGCGTTCCGATCATAATATCGGCAATGTCTCTTGTAAATCCGTCCACGTCCCGTTTCATATTTTGGGTATCTGATTTTTCGTAAATCTCACCGCCGTTGAGCACCAAGTGCTTGAACGCGGTCAAGAATTGTTTTCTGAACGACTCCAAAGTGAGAGTGTCCGGAAGATTCCAATTGTCCTGCGACAGTGTGTCAATGGCTCTATACCAGCTAGAAACGGCTTCTTTCACCGTTCCACTCACGTCCGGTCGGTCTTGTAACTATATATGATTTTTTTTTTAATATATAATATTATTCGCAAACGTGGCGTTGTATTATAATAGAAGGTGAACTTGCAGATATTTAAATATGGAGTATGGGTGAGGACGTCGGATATATTTTATACTACGGAGACTCGTATACCTGCCTCAACCTTGAATGGATGGAGTGAAATAAAAACAGTTTTTTTTTTTTTCGGTTTGAACCGACAGCAGAGGAGGATCTGTGTGAACACTACTACTCCTCATAAAAACAGTTAACTGCCCCAAATTTATCGATTTTTGTAATTTTTTTTGTAAATTCGTTCAGTAATAATACTTACTTTTCATATCCCATTTAATGGTAATTCAAAACCTTGTTGTATACATAATAATGTACAGCTACATAGGTACAAATCATAACAAATATTAAATACTATACAGAGATCTCACCCCTACCAAACCCACCACTTAAATATGTCACAAAAAGAAAGGAAGTATATAATATGATATTGTTCTTACTGCAGGGGCAATAATGGAAGAATATGTTATGCGAGAGTCGTTTTTAACATGTCCATACAATATTCGATATTGTTGTTTTTTTGATGTCGTATAATATACATAATATTTTGTAAGGATTTTTGTTCAACTATGCTGAAGAAAACACAAAGTTTTTCCAAAAAGAGTGTAGTTTTATTTTTGAAAAAAGTGTATCTGTATATCTATAAACAAAACATGTGATATCGGCGAGGGCACACATCGAATAACCACCAGACTACCGCGGTTATAATATTATTATACTAAACGTTTCGGAGAAAACAGAACACCCTAATATTTTACAAACGCATACATATTATTATTATTATTATTATTATTATTGTTATTAGGTATAAACCTCGAAATATTAATATCGGACTCCTGTTAAGAAGTCGGCCCGCTGCAGAGATGTGTAAAATAATACGCTTAGGCATATATCCATAAATAATAATATTTTACCTTCCTGTACCTAACTAACGTCGTTTCCGCCGCCTCCACCGCCTCGGAAAAGAAAAGGAAAACACCGTCTGTTCAAAGTTTTTCAACGGATAACGCGCCAGCGGTTCTACGACGTAAAACTACCATTATAATATGGAACACGTCTGTGCGCGTTTAAAAGTCTAGCAAACGAGTGATTAATCCTTTCGCGGTCGGTGTCCGCACCATGCGACGGTATTATTATGTGCGAGTACGGCGGCGCAAAGGCGACCGAAACTTAAACATTTCGCAGCCGACTTTACACCCCCGATGTATAGTCGCTCTCTTCGGTGGCAAATGCTGCAATGGTCGTGAACAACGAGTGTTATCCCTCCTTAACCCTCCCCCACCGCAGCGTTCGAGAGGTCTACCGTAGTCGTATTTGGGCAGGTATCGTTTTATTTTTCCACTAACCCCTTTTTCTCTTTAATTAAGTACCTAATTCCTACCTATATAATATGTGTATAACACTATAACATAATATATTATTATATTATTATGTATAGACGAGTGAGTATAATATATATTATTATATTGAACTGTAACCACTGATTTCTCAGTCAATTTTTGTGATTTTTTTAGAAAAAACACATTTTGTATATTATAGCTATAAACAGCAAAGTGCATATAATATACACTTGGGGTATACTAGCTTCTAAGAATATATATTTCAACAAGAGCTATGTTCCACCACACCGCACGCCTAAATTTTAAATACTTATTTGCCTATAAAAAAAATCCATTTGTTCGATATTCGATATTTATACATCAAATACATTTTTTTTTCATATTATTAATCTAAAAAAACAATCTGTTCAAGATGCGCGATAAGTTATTTATACAGTATTTTTATTAACAAAAGCGTAAATCGTATGGATTTAAGCTTGTGGATGAATGGCCATTTGCAGTACTCACATAAAAAATGTAATGCTTTATTTTTATTTAGGTACTTCTTAGGTACAATAGGTACATATTTAATAAGTTACGATTACGTTTTCGCTTCAGTTGGCTTATGATCGGGGAACCATTAAAATAATTTTGTCTATAAAAGAATTCAGCAGTTCCTTTCTTAGTAAAATTAAAAATATAAGATTTCATTAAAAAAATCATTGCGTCGGGAAATGGAACCTACGCAGTATCGACAAGATGGTTTGTTGCGAACAAACTCTGTGGTTAACTTACTGTAATATGGTTATGGTACATATAACACGTATTTTGATCCAGAGTACGGTAGGAATTTTGATTTTTCTCACGAATTCCTTGTAAATAAATGGAGATTCCACAGAAACTTTGTCAAGTTTTGAGTTTGACAATTGGTCTATAAACCAACAACTATCTCCTATAGTATATTACCGGTATATCACGTATTCGACAGGAGGTTACCACAATGCTGGTATATCACATATTATTAGCTTGTTTCGGGTTATATGATATAATATTATAATACATACTCCTATTACCATTACATAAAGTTTTCGGTTTTGAATCTGACATATTTTCTACATAGTCTGACATAAATTTTCGATCAGCCCACCCACAACAGGCATAGTATATTATTATTATTACAAAGTTACAGAGAGTTTGTCCCTTAAAATTAGACGATATCACAACACGAAATCAAAAAAAAAAACTGTAAATTAAGACATGATATTCTCTTGTTTTCCATTTCATATCACTATCAAAACGCAGTGTGCGATCGACACAGTTTGTGCTCAATAACATAATATTGAAGACGTCGATCATAAGACATTAAACTATGTGTCTTTGGTCAGCGACTGTATTCCCATTTAATTTACCCTCCCCCCACCACGGGTCAGCCTAGATGTGATAATATTGCTCGTCATTTCTTGCGACTTACCGCATGGTTCTATTCTCCAGTTGGTGGTCGCGCGATGTCGGTGACGTGAAACGATACGACGAAAATCGAATTATTGACGGCGACCGCGTGGAGCAGCTTCCGGATTACTGGTGCCACGTACACTGGGGATTTTTTTTTCTTTTTGTTTAGAGATCATAAACGAGTACCCGCAGCATATCTGTATACCGACATTGGGACATACATTTTATTTTATTATTTGAGTACGCGATTTCGGGAATGAGACGCATTGGCGAAGCGAGATAGTGCTAGAGGATTGCAGAGCGCGGTAATCGAGTGTCATATAATACATAGCAAGTCTGCAAGTCCACACAGTGTATACATATATATATATAATATACATATGTGTGTATTGTGTGATTGGTGCACGCGTGCAGTGCGTGATATACTTACGGACTTAGCCCAGGCGGCCAAGTTGGTCTTGAACCTCACGCAATAATTGAGAAATCCGTTTTCAGCGACAATGCCCAGGGGTGCGTCGGACGAACGTACATCGCCGAATTCGGTCCAAGCGGACGTGATATAGACGACAGCTACCTCGTAATCGGAAGACCAGTTGAACGGAACGTTGTTCGTCTATATATATATGTGTGTTAAAATACGTATATATATACACACACGTACCAATATTATATGTACCGCTTAGGGATTACAGTTATATAGCTTATCGTTTTAGCGACATGTGTGTATAGTTTTATATATATATATTCATTATACTACAGTTGTAGACTGAAAAAGTACTCGAAAAATCAAAAGTAAAAATGTTACATCGCCAATATACTTTAGACTTTTACATTTTATATGGGTCCGTGTTAGGCGTGCGCAGACTTTCATGGCAGATACAGGATAAGGTGGCCAAATCTATTTTGAACAATCAAAATGGTTAATAATTGTATGATACACTAGCTGATAGGCTGTGTTATTACAGTATAGCTATAACAATATAATTAGTAATTTTAACTATAGGTAGGTTCCTTTTTGTTATGCATAATACTGCACAAAGTTTCAAGTGGAAAAAAAATTGGTTCGGTTCCATTATTCATCTATACCTATTACCTACTTATAAGTTATGTAATTATATTGAACAATGACATTTTTTTACTGTCCAAAATCAACAAAAATGTTCTGATGCAGCACAAGTGAACCTTTTGCTGCACCCATGCGCACGCCTATGTCGGGTACCCATGACAAAATAGATAGGTATCGTCACAGTTGTTATAGTTTTTTTGAGTATGCGTATCTTTTTCACTTCCAACCCATGTCAAGGTTCTCCACTTCTGATTGATTGAATTTTTTCCATGTTGTGCATGTATTTGTTTCATTGACAGCCAATAAGAAATGGAAAAATTCTATTTAGGCGAAGTAAAGAGAGGAGGATGCGTATCAAAAACTGTGATGATATTATACCTATGTCATACAAATATCTGCAGTAATGGTCTGAGCACCGTTGATTTTCCCGTTTTCCGACGTCCGTGTGCCCTCGGAAAAAGGGAAAACTGTACGGTAGAGCTACCCGTCATAATAATAATAATAGGATTATATAATATTCGTACGACATGATGTATTATAATACTATTTTATAATTATAATATTTTCGTGTGGTTGCTTAGCATATATAATAATAATTGTTTTCGTTTTCGTCGTCGACGTCAAAATTATACTCACCGAGGACATGGTGTCGCCGACCAACGACGACGCCGAAGGTTTTAGACTTCCGATGGGATTCGTGTGACCGGCAGACTGGAAAACCGAGAATACATATTAAATGTGCGATAATGTGTCTGCGAAAAAATCGATTTAACCACACACGCTCATCGTTGTAGCATCATATTATTATATTATGTATAGCCACGCGCTCGTAATTTCAGTGTTCGTATAACGTTATGAATTTTAATATCACAAAATGCATAAGATATAATAATATTATAGTGCTCAATTCATAATAATACGGCCTGCGCGATACCGGGCTGAAAACTAAAATTGTATATTTCCAATTATTATTTCTTTTCGAATCCATTATGAAAATAGCTTCTTTCCAATAACAAGATCCGTCTCACACTCTGCCGAACAAATTAATTATACTTGAATTGACCAATTTCCCATAATATACGAATTAAAATCGATAAACCGTTAAACAATGGCCTAAAGCAAAGATTAAATTCTTATGTTGTATTGCTCAGGATATTAAATAATAGCTTTGATCGTTAAGAATTGCGCGTCTGAAGGATGTTTCCGATACCGTGATTTTAACAATTAAAATACAAAAAATGTATTATTGGTGCATCGTTTACAACTAAAGTATGGGATCGTTGGAAATTTCTGTAGGCCTCGGGCACTTATAATGATATAGTTGGTAAGTACCTTTTTTTCTATTTAACCGACAGCATAGGAGGGTAGTTGGTAAGTACCTATTGATCACGTTTGTCGATAATAACAAATTAACAACTATCAGGTACCTATACCTTCGTCTGTGTGCCACAAAATGGATAATAATAAAATTACTATATCAAATCCGCTTTTATGCGCACCACGTGTGGGAAAAAAATAAGAAAATAAACGATTTCGATGGCATCAAAATGCGTATTAATAATAAAATCGAGGAGATTCGCCTTCCTGGTCCTCCTTCTTCGCCTATCCTGCAGGCAGGTCCTGCTCAACGTCACACAAAGTGTCGTAAAATCAACGCGGGTTGTGTGCATAATACGTTTTTAATTACAGCCTTGTAAATTATTAATTCGTCTCCGACCTTACCTCACCCGAGCCGGTATGGCATAAGTTATGCGCTCGTAACGAACGAACAAAGGCTTAAAAAAGAAACAGGATAACAGAAGTATTATAATATTATGATTATTAAATGCTGCCGCGTTTAAAGCGACAGAAGAAAAGTCACGGGCTGCACTCCTTTATAATATTATGTTGTGTAGTCCCACGCATACGTTAAATTAAATGGTAATAATATAATATTTCAGTACAAGGCGTTTCCATGAAAATCTCTTGTCGCACTCTAGCGAAGGGTTTTTGCGATGTAGAATTTCGTCAACAAAAGAGGCGATATAACATAGACGAACTTTCCAAAAAATATTATGTTTGTGTACAGCAGTCATTGGTTCTCAACCCATGGGCCGCGGCCCACTTGTGGGCCTCTAGCAGCTTGGTACTGGGCCGTGAACCATATAATATTATTATATTATTTTTATAACTGCCGTATGTATATGTTTATATATATATATATGCTTACGTATATAAGAGGGCCTCGGAGATTTTTTTTACAAAATTGGTGGTCTGCACAACTAAAAAGGTTGGGAACCGCTGGTGTACAGAATTAATTTAAGTGCAGAGTCATCAAATGACAAATTTACCTCTTGAAAACAAAACTATGGTTTAGCCGTTTGTAGCTCTATTACATTAGTAACATTACAATTATTATAATATATCTACTGATCTATTGTTCAACAAAATGAAAAATTGATATGAAATTTTATAATGTAAACAAAAATAGAATTTGTATAAACCAAATTTAAATCAACACCTCAAAAATGTTGCAACCATTGCTCACTTCACTAACCTCGCTTTATACGGCAATGACGGCAGAGACCCACTCGACTGACACCGCTCAGGTGACAATCCATAGTGAGATTATTATTAATATTTGTAATTGTATTCTGTTGCGGCGTTGATAAAAAAGTATGAAATTAGCTTTGAAAAAATATTGTAAGTTTTTGCGTTTATGAGAGGCCTCAACCCTTTGGAAATTTACGAACAGGTGTGTTCCGGTAAAGATAATTTCGTCAGTGGAAGGGCGGAGGAAAAAAGCCATTTCGCTCGCCTCGAATTTTCAACACTTAATATTAGTATAACCGAGCGTAGATACGGATTTTTTTCGAAATATCACGCCCGAAAAATTATGCAAATTGTATAAAGCGATTTTTTCCCATAATAATAATATAGTACTCATAAATAAAAATGAAATCCACGCACTTTTCACGTATAAATAATATTATTTCGGTTCGTATTTTATTTTTATTTTTTATTATTACCGGAAAACCTATAATCGAATACAAATTTACCGAACCCGTGTCTGGCGTTCTCAAATAACGTTGTAAATCGATCAAGACAATATTAACTTTACGGCTACTGACCATATTGTGCTGTGAGAACCAGTAGGTAGGTATATATAGGTACAAAATAATTGTTATATTACCATCAAACTCGACCGCCACCGTATAAGGCACAATAATACTATATTATTATGCACTTACGTCTTACACACATCTCCCAGCAATAAGTCCATCTATTGTTATGCTAATTATTACGTTAACACACAACTATTTTACCAAACATGTCCATGTCATACACACAACTCACACACATAGAGGACTTGATTGTGTTAACTTATCAGCAGTGTTGGTCTAACCATTATTGTTTTACCTACACATAATAATGTACTATTCGTACATAAACAAATAATTATTCCGCCGACTATATTGGGTCAAAGTTATAGCGGAAAGTCTAACTGTCCATAATATAATATTGGCCCTGCGCATTATGATGATTCGAGAGCTCGTGGTAATATTATTATTGATAGTGATAATCCACTTTGATTTAGGCCAATATTTAAGATGTGCTAGTAGCACATCAACCTTTTACAAATTGATATGAGTTTGACTATAAAATTGGATCACAAAATCAGCCATGGAAAAATACGCAAGCCCCATTTATTTACATCACGGTAGGGTGCAGTATTATCACGATTTAAGATATTGTATTAGGGTCAATACCTAATACCTATAAGCAGTCAATTAGACATTAACCTAAAAACAGGAATGGTGCACTGATAGTACGCATGCACGTACTAACCTATACGTAACCTCACCTAACCAACTACTAGGTTAAGTAACTGGTATTATGTTATCAGTAATATAACATATTAAAAGGGGTAAATTCAAATGTGTACAATTTAATAGTATTAGGTAGTGTTATAAGTTTAATAGTTATAATTTTATAAATAATAATTTAGAATCATTCAGAGGGGTGTTTTTAATCATAAAGGCATGGCTATCATAAAATAAAATTATCAGACAGATTTTGAACTATCCAGTCCAAGTCCAAATAAACTCTACATTTTTTTCTTTTAATTTTTATAAAATTAATTTTAAATGTGATATTTGTCAAACTGAATTATCAACAAAATTGTTATTAAATAGACAAAAAAAGTTTAAAATGTCAATTGGATGGGATTTAGTTACAATTTTATCAGTGTAATGATTGTGATATTAATTTTTCGAAGAAAACATTGCTAATAGATCATTTGAATAAGATCCAGTGGTATTCATTTGAATAACAACCTACTCTGAGGTCCACGGACTCTCTATAAATAAATAAATAGCAGAATTTTCAAATATATCAGGTATGTTTATGATATAATTTAGGAAATGTAGCTATTTTTAAATATTATATTTTAAATGAAAAACCATAATACATATTACTATATTTTAACATTTTAGAATTTCAAGCCTGGTAAAGAGATAATGAATCAAAAAACGTTATTAAATACATTCAAAATACGGGCCAAAAAAAATGTAAAGATGGTCAAAGATATTATTATGAATGCTGCAGAACAGGCTTTCATAAAGAAGAAGAGAACTCAAAAAGAATGATTAAAACACAGAGCAGTAAAGAAATTAATCAAAATTGTACAAGCTACATGCAATTATTTGAGTCATTTGAAGTTAAATGTGTAGTCACTTTTTATAAAGAATATTTTGTACATAAACTGCCTAATCGAACATATAAAAATACCAATTATTAGAAAAAAACGTGAGATTGCTGCTAAGCTATAACAGGGTGTCATATTTAAAAGAGTATTTAGTTGGTGCTAGAGAAGATATAGGGAATAGTTTGAAAAGAGACCTATCCAAAATCCAGAGCATCTTAAAGAGACCATGCAAAAGTTAGAAGCCATTGATGATTTTACTGACGCGACATCAAGAGAAACAACAATTTTCACATAGTTCATTAAAACAAACAGTTATCCACCAAATAAAAAAATAATGACACAAAACCATTTTTACTCAACAAAAAATAAAAGACAAAAATTTAAAATGATTTATCAAAACATTCCATTCAAGCAATTTGTTTTTAAATAAGATACTAAATGTTTTAAAAGAAAAATATGTTGAACATTCATATTTTAAAGAACATTATAGATTCTAGTATTCTACAAGTGAACCTAACCTAACTATTGACCTATAATTTATTGATTATTATTTTTGTATTTGTATATTATCATAATTAATGTAATCTTGTGATAAATATTTTACGTTTACATAATGATTTATATATGATATTTTTGTGATGATAATTGATAAGTATATATTTACCGAATAAGATAGTACCTGGCTGCGAATTATTTGACTACTCGCATGTCAGTCCACCATCGTCGTTATCATTTTGTTATCAATCTATTTTTTCCCTATCAACTCATTTTAATATTATTGGTTCATATTTTGAAATTCAATAAATAACTATCTATCTAAAGTCTGATCATTCATACTTATTTTAATAAATTAACTTTGCCTCAACATAACCAAAACCTAATTCTAACAATAGTTTAGTAAAATAATTTAAGTCGCTCGTATCTCCTTGAGTTTAAATATTATTCACTATATTTTGATCGTCTAGGAAATGTTGAAGACAGGTAAAATATCTTGCATCTTCCATTTTAATAAATATAATATTTTAAAAAAGCGTACCAAAGATAATTCAAAACAAAATTGAAAAATATTTATTTATCAAAATTCTAAAAGAGTTTCATGCAACTTTAAGTCATATACCTAGGCACACATAATATAACAATAAAGTGGAACATATTTTTTTTGTACACAGATTAGTAGCAATGATTATTAAATCACTCATTTAATCACAAATAGTTTTAAAAAGTGCTTTAACGCCTTTAACTAATAATCTAACTAATACAACAATGACTTAACTTTAATTATATCTTATAGCTCGTGGTAGTCACCTTATCATATATCATATCATGATGTGCAACCTGTAGGTACTTACCTATATCTTAAATCGTGATTTAGGCTTACAATATAATATTACACCCCTTTCTGGCGACATGCTGACCTTGAACATTATACGCTGAATGTCTATAATAATATTATGGCTATTCCTAAAAAGTAATACTGCGCGGAGATACACTAGGCCGCGGGAACGAATTCAAATCGTTAAGCCGTTTACGATCTCGCAGAAGTTCACATTTTACGATCGCGTATCGAGCCGGTATAATTTATAATAATATAATAATATAATATTATTATTATATTTATACTACGAGTCACACACTTGGCAAGCTCAGAGCAACCGATATTTTGGTGTACGACTGTGAGCGAGGTAAAGAAAATACATTCCATCCCGTTACGCGATCGATATAATATTATGACTATCAATTATGATTACCATCAAACACACTTTTAACACGAAAGTGTTGGGATATGAGTTTATATGTGTACAATCGCACATATGAGTATAATAATATTATATATATAGGTACACCGCAATACTGCTGACCGTATTTGTTTTTTTTTCATTTTACCGAAAATCGAGTTGAATAGTATTTTTTATTTTTTTCGAAAGGCAGCAGACAAAACGATTATCCAAACGACAATTTATTTGTAATAGTGTTTGGAGGAGGTGGATGGTGGTTGGAGAAATTGACCAATCGGTACCAATAAAAAGTTTTGAAACTATTATATCCTCGTACAAGCCGGGTATTTTCAGTTCAATAAAATACAATTTTTTGAACAAACTGTACAGACAAATCGGAAAAGCCCAATCGAAACAAACCTTAACAGTTAAAACATGTAGCAATAAATGTATATTTTTAAATTAAAAACAAACCCATATACCTTATACATAGGTAATAGTATTTTATACAGGTATTGTATACCGGTCACATTAATATACTTTGTAACTAGATTATAAATAATTGCATTATATAGATGATAATACAGCCAAAGTGCTGTTACAATAAATAGGTAAATAAAAAAAATATACTTGGTTACTGACTTTGTTACAGAAAATAAAATGTAATTTACATTTAATTTTAAATTTGATCACACTATGCTCGTGAAAGATTTTATAAAACGACCTGTGTTCCAGTTATACAAATAGGAAAAAATTAGTTTTTGATTTCAATATTATTTATTGTGATTTCCTGTAGTCAATCTATTTTGCTATGGACAAACAAATGATTATTTTAATAAAAAAGCCTAAGATGATTTTCAATAACAATAATATTCTTATACTATTACTTATTATATTATCATTTAATATTTTAATGTATTTACGGATTTGAATATTTTGTTTATGAATATGACTTACATTTGACTAATTATCTGAAATAATTCTGATCTTTTATTTTTAATATGTTGATTATTCCGGGTAAAATAATTATATATTATTTTAATTATAATTTCCTCTTTAGATATTATCCCATTTACGATAAGGACTTAGTTTATCATTATTGAACTATTCACACAGGTAGGTATAATGATAATAGCTGAGGAAATGAAATATTATATAATTTTGACCTCACTAATCCAATGATACAAAGAAACAAAAAAAAAACAAAAAAAAAACACAATAATAATTTTTTTTAAAACGCGATTATGTTCATTTTTCGTTATTTTAATTCATCCTAGTTTAGTAGTTGGCTGTTTGGATCGAATGAAATATTTCGTAACATAAAATAAGTGAAGCAATGATATATTTTTGTCAATTTAATTAATTCAAGTTTTAATGTGCAGTAATAAAATAATATGATAAAGAAAACCAACGTTGTTTGCGCGCAAATTAAATTATACATTTCACTGGCTGGTGTATATACATAAATCGCCAACTGCGTAATACCATTGGGAATTGGGCATTTTAATAAAAGTAGTTAAACTCTATCAACTATTTGGAAACATGTTATTCTCGTAATTAAATTATAGACTTAAGTGTATTAGTAACGGTTTTCGTAACCAGGCGACTACGTTTGTCGATGGTCCAGTTGACTCTTTGTAATTTATTGAAAAATTTAAAAAAAATAGCTATTAAAAATGAAAATAATAATCGCCAATATGAATGTTTATGAAAATTAAATTTATTCATATATGTCAGACTTATGAGAGGTCTGAATATAAAATATAATTTATGTACTTTTTCTGAAATGTCGATCCCAAACTCTACACCGACTTGAGTCGAAATGGGAACAAAGTCGATCATCTAGAACTCTGGATGAGCAATAATAATGGGACTCATGTCAAGCTCACTCGATATAGACTGTAAATTATTATAATTAATAAGCCAATAGTAAATTAGATTTATGCATATTCTGATTTACAGTCACGAAAATAATCTTCCAAAATTAAATTTGTTTGAACAGCGTTTGAGAAAAAATCATAATGATTTAAAAAAATGAGATGAGAGAGGTCCTTCTAAAAATTATTGTCATAATACGAAAGGAAGAATCCAAAAATCTCTCCTAACTAAAAAAAAAAACGAGTGCCGTATTCAAAAGAATTTAAAAAAAAACATGCCATGTTTATATTCATAAAGCACTTCAAAGCATTTATTTCTATGCTTCGTGTATTTACCAGTGCACACAAAAAACATTTAATTCTGTAAATAATTTACAGAATGAAATTAACGAGCGTATATTTGTTTATCGTAACAACGGAAATAGGTGAATGATGAAATCGAGAAAAATTGCGAAGAAACAATACATAATATAATGTATTTAATATAACCGGAATTAGCTTACATCATTAGGCCTTTCGATCATACAGTAGTAGAGGTACTCAAGTACACAAAGATATAGGTATGCCGTCGTGAACGCCGAAGTGTAAAGGAGATCGCGATAAGGAGAATAAAAAATGTATTAAAAAAAAAATTAACAAACAAACGATAACAACCATATACCGTGTATACGGTATATTGACACGCACGTGACTATTAAAATTTAATGTAACAATATAATTAATAATAATTGAGCTAAGTGAAATAAAAAAAAAATAATATGCTTACTTGTAATGGTTCTGCACAGGTCGACTGTGCGAAGACTGCGACAAACCATAACATCACCAAACCTCTTCCTAACCTTTGGACCATGATGTAGCGGTTTGACGGTTATATTATTATTATTATTATTATTGTCGTCAACGATGTTTGGCAGGTATATAAAGTTTTATTATATTGGATTGTTATTTGTTATAATATTGTGTTGTACGTCTGGTCGACGTGACGTCGATTGTGAGATATTCGTGGCGTTCTGCGAAAAGTCGCACCGCGGCTGGGCAGTGGTGCCCACTGCCAGCCGCGGGAGTCGATTATAATATACTATTATATTATTATCATCTGGTTGGACGTGAAATGAGATTAAACAATAATAAAAATGAAAAATTGGAACCGGAAAATGTTTCTCGCGTGTAGTAGTATAATTTACACATCATTTTATTATTATACAGTGAGAATTCTTATATGCTCACTCTATTTTTACGCTTAAATACTAAAAATTAGAATTTGAATAAAATATGTACTATATTAAAAGAAAGAATTGGGGTCTGTATGATGAATCACTCTGTATACAAATTGATGTGTCATCATCAGCTGTATGCACTCACATAACCTCTAGCACCGAAGCTATGCGAGAGTTGGTAATGTTGGTATAAACCAAAAAATATCATAATATCATATACCTGGTATAATATTATGTTGTTTGACCGTCGTGACCCGCCAGTGAGTCGCAAAGTGTTGAAACCCAATTACGGCCCCTGCCAGCCAGTATAACTACAATGTATACATACACTGTGCTCTGCTGCAGCAATGATCGCAATGGCAATAATAGTAATGGTAACAGTTACGTATAATGCTTATTATTACGGTCGTCGACGTCGCGGGAGTGCGTTATGGGCGCACATAAATGTAAAAGTCACTCGCCGAACGCGCCCGTTTTCGGGGCCCATAAGGTTTTACGATGAAAATTTTCAAAACGTTAAAAATCCACTAAGCGCGACCCCTGACGACTAATAATCGTTTTCCCGCTGCCACCTAACCACGTACTATGAGTTCATTTTTTTTTTGCCCACCGAGCTCGAAACAAAATACAGTCTGTATTTTCTTTTTTTCTTATACACGCGTGCTGTAATTATATGACGGCGACGACGACGACGTCGACGTACACGACATAATCGTAATAATAATTCTACGCAGCAGCTGCATTTTGGCTATTTGCGTACACGCCGTTCGTCCTCCTCGAGCGACCGCTATTATATCCATGTAATGATAATAATATATTACCTACTGTTACATTTTTAACGTCTTCTTGACGATGTCACGTCCGAACCACGTACGGTAAGGCAAAACGAGGCGAAAAAAATAATAATAATCGCTAGTCGTAAAAAGTAGCTGTGGTTAAACTGCTATGTGCACATTATATGTAGGTATATACGTCGCGCTATACATCACGTACTAATATAATATGCTCGCGACAATACCGGGAGATGACTGACGCTGTTTGTAAAAAAAACGTGGCATTAAAGAGTAAAAAAAAATATTCTTCAACTCCCCCCCTCCATACTGCTTTAAATCATCGCTTTGCCATAATACAATATTATATTAAATTGTTACGCTCAATATAAAATGTCTAGTGTCGAAAAATCATATTTCGCATTATCAGAAAATTCCTCATAATTTGGGAAATCTCAACGAGATAGACGATGATGGACTTGTATAACTCTGCGGAGAGGTTCTCTGGGCCACACGTGTTACGAAAAAGAGGTGAGCAAATACGACTATGGAATACCGCAAGACAGCTTCATTGCGACGGAAACTTACATGTAGGTAGGGAAAAAAATAATAAGAGCTCGTTGTAAAAACTAGGTTAAATTGATGTGTATACACGTTATGCTATAATATATGCTCGTGACAACACTACGCGATGACACGATGCTCTTTGTTAAAAAAAAAACGGGTGTAAGAGTAAAAAAACACCCCCCCCCCCCCCCCCCCCATAGGTGTGCAATATATAATAAGTTCTCACACGAAAATTAAATATGAGAATTACAAATTTTCCTCCTACTTCATTCAGACTTAGGACTGACAACTAAAATGTAGATGGGTATACCAAGTTAAAATTATCAATTATTTTATTATTCGACTTACACAAGGGTTTTTTTTTGTGTGGGGATTTAAGTACTGGTATATTTTTTTAGGGAACTTATATAGATTAGAGGCGTCGGAGCTGGTGTGTTTTTAGTACAAAAACAAGTCTTACAGGAAAAACTATTACGATTACACCTCATAGAATAGTGCGATTTCGTTATTATTTTTTTTTTTTCAAATAAAAGAACATTTTACAGGTTGGATCCAAGCGCAATATTTAAAATTAAAATGATATAAGCTTAATTATGCATTTGATAATGTATAGTAAGATTATTTTTTATGAGAAAATTCAAGTGAATAATAATTTTGAGACAATTTAAGTAATCTTTTTAAAAAAAAATTACGTCAGGCAATTAGTTTGGGCTCCACGATTCAACTTTAACGATTGAGATTAGCCATCAACAGGGGCGCATGTAAACTCCGCTACAAGTACCTTTTTTTTTATGTAAACTCCACCAAGAAAAAAAAAGGTAAAATTGGGTTCATATAAACTTNCAAAAAAATATCAGCATTCGGCAAAATCACATTCCAGACTATTATGAGTACACTACATAAGTGAAGAATATAAAGCTTAAATTAGCAATAATGAACACGTTAAAATAATAATAATATGACGTGTATACAATTTATTCATTAGTTATTAGTTTATGTATTAAATTACTAGTATTCTAAGTAGGTACCTGCCCACTTTAACGTGCTTTTTGTCAATTGACAATAATCTTTCTCGGTGTGCTACAACAGACAAAGACGGTTTTATATTTTATATGCTTTGGCTCGTGTTTGGGGACGTTTAATTCGCGTGCAGAGACGCAGGTAACTGTGTAATATAGTAGTGGCGTGCGCGTTTGAAATTCGATAAGTTTAATGTAAGACGAGAATAATTGAACGACAAAATGATAAGTTTATTATCGAGAAAAAATTCTGGGAATTGTTTACGAACTTCGTTCGGATTAAGTAGTATTTAAACGTTAAAATATTTTAATAATATTATGTACAATATGTGAACACTTTATGCAGCATATATTATTATTTTATAGTTATAACATATTCACGTAATATCGACAGTGAAATTCCACGAATATCAGAGTTCAGGTTTGCCAAAACTTTAGGACGATAAACCACTCCAACTATAATAATAATAGGGAAGGGCCGCACAAATTTTCACGCACTGCATAATTTCAAGTCCAAGACAACATAATATTATCTGAGCGATGTCGATTTAGGCGCATATACGTTTTCTGGCAATATTATGTTCAATCTAATGTTCTTGATAATATTATTTATTACGTACATCTCATAATAGATAATGATAATAATGATATCCACGTTACAAATTAGTGCGAGCACTATAATACCGAAAATATAATCAAACTCTGATAATATTGACTACCTATAATCAACACAATTTTTTTTTTAAATACGCACGATAACTTAAAAATTATATGGGTTAGGAAGGTACTTAGATAGTATATATTAATGAAAGTAAGGTTTCGCAAAAAAAAAATAAAAACGGCTGGTAATTACTTTTGACAAAATTGAGAATAAAAAAATCATACAGTAAAATATTAAAATATTATGCGACTGGATATAAAGCAGTTTTTGTCGTGGCTCGGGTTTTTTTTTTTTTTACATATGAGATCTATAAATACGATATAATTTCATATTGGATGATTTTTAAGTTATAGAAACAATTAGAAAGATTTATTTTTACATTGTGCGTTTGTAATATTTTTGTAGATACTTAATATTGATAGATATAACTATGATGCAACTGTAAACATTTCAATTTTAGTTGCATGTTATTGCTTACGGTAACGTAAACAACCCCTACAACCCTACCCTCCCCCCGGCAAATATAAAAACGTCAACCATGACACCTATTTGGGCATCATAAAACCACGTTCATCACACGCCTTTATACTGACTATTACAGTGAATTAATTTGATATACCTACGACAAATGAGTTGGTTGGCGTGCTTAAAAAAATGGATTTTTGACAATTATTCATAACTTTATCGAGTGCTGTGTAATGGATATTGAAGTTGTTGTTTGGTAATGATTGCAGCGACGGCCGACAGCTAGTCTATCGCACTCGGCGTTTTATTATACACTTTCCGGATACCATAATATATGATATTATCACCATTACGACGTCGCACCAACGACACGTCCGCGAAAACCCGAGAGAATCTTAAAAAAAAAACATTCACTTTTTTCCACTCCTCTCGCTTACGAGTATACGAAATCCTACCGGCGGAGGGGGAGGGGCTAAGAACTGCTACGACTTTTATCCACCCTTGTCCATATACATTTACTCGCCCTATCCATCCCACCCCTTATCACTCTCTCTCACTCTCCATCTATCTTCCGGTGCAGTGTGTCTCGGTCCTCGGAGGCTGTGACGGCGACACAGACGACCGACTCCTATATTCGCACGTACGACGGAAGAATAATAATTTCAGTGGCCTTTATACCATTTTATTATTATATACATACACTGAGGCTACACAAAAGACACGCATTTATTACGCGCTTTCCCGTCGCCATCCATTTATCACACACACACACAAGCCATAAATACAGTTAAGCCCGACCAGACGACCTCGCGGAGCCGGTCGGTGTCGACTAAAATCTGAACTCCGTCGAAGAACCAAACGCGTAGTATTATACATTTCAAATAATAATATAAAATGACGATAGAAACATGTTAATGATTGCGGTGTATACACAATGATAATAATAAAAAATAATAAAACGCACGCACCTGGTGGAGGGTTGGTAGTGAGTCGTTCAACATTATCGCGTGTTAACTTACGGCGATGACAACGACGACGACGAAAGCCGATAAAAGTGTATAATAATATAATACGAACTAATGCTATTAGGTGCACCGAAGAAGTGGTAGCTCTGTTACGCAATGCTTGAGAATCAATGACGGTAGTGTTGTTCTGAAGCATAGACCTCGATCGTAATGGAAAAAAATTCGCAAATAGAAAAGCGTACTTTTTTTTGGAGTGGAAACACTGAATTTTCAACATGTTTTGACATCAAGATAACTAATATGGTAATATATTTTGACAGTTATTTCATAATATGGTAAAATACAAAATATAAAATCTATAGAAGGTATGTCGTCGATCAACAAACGTAAAAATGTTGTAGCCTACAACGGTATTCGCTTATCCTGTAAAAATTATTTCAGAGGTTTTCCCAATTTCCCACGAAGCGACGAAGCCGAGAAATAAGACTATCGGACAAGATATTCTGTATTTTCTGTGTAAACAACAGCGTGACGATCGGCGTAAAAACATCTAGCAGTGATGTAAGTTGTCTCGACATAAAAAATACAGTGATGTAGCCTGTCTTGACGACAAGATACAACAATCTTTACATCTTACCCTACTACCCCGCACTATCATGCATAATGAGTAAACGAAAAGCGCAATATGTGTTTTTACCCTCGTTGCTTGCCTCGTAAGGCCTACTGGTTACACCTAACCTAATATAACCTATGATCTGATACGTTTTGACGTAGAAAATCTGCCGAAAGCTTGAGTTCGAGTGTCTCCAGCTTCGAGGTCATCGCCCGTGAAACCAGGGGAGGCAACTCGTTGGCGCTGGATCGGTGTTTTGTTTTTGCAGGTTGTCAAAAAGTGGAAAATCGAAAGCCGCGTGTCGCGTGACTTTAGACCTTTTACTAATAGACCGATCCTCTTCACGTTTTTTCACCGTGTCAAGATGGTTGGTGCTTTTCGGTTACCGAGCCACTCTAATGCAGACATGCAGTACAACACATACCATATAAACATAATATATTATAATATTAATACTATTTATTTATATTAAGCTCCCTGCGTCTCTGCGCCATGTAAGCACCGGACTATCAATCTATATGGTATAGGATGGGCCTACAAATAAAAGGTCTACGCTAGTTACTGCAACCAAAAAAACCAAACAATATGGGCATATTGAAGTTGAAAGAAGCAATGTTTTGAAAACGAAATCCTAAATTTATTAATTGTTAATGGTGGTATTAATATAATTTATATTGCCATGTATATGATGTTTCAATTGCAATAATTATTATATATTTTGGTATTTAATTTTCGTTTGCTCTAAAATATTTTTGATTTTGTACATAACCTTCATAAACTTTTGTTCGAGGCGCTTAATAAAACAGCGTCGGACAACTCAACTAAAAAGTCCTCTCTAAGAGACCGAATTGACGGACGTTGTTAAATACTAAATAGGGAAGTATTCTATTTTAATTTTTAACTTATCTTCCAAGGCCGTGCTAGTGATCGTGCAGTGGAAAACAAACCAGGGCTTGTCAGGTGTTTTTTTTTCCAAGTTGTCAAAATGAGAAAAATCGAAAGCCCCGCGTCTGAGACGTGTCTAGTGACTGTTAGTCACCACCGTCGCGGAGTAAGTACTATAATATAGTAATATTCTGCATGTCAGCTTATGTGACTCGGCGGACGAGCGGAATTCGAAAAAACAAATGCCGTCGCAACTAATAAGTTTCGAACATTAACGAGAGTGCATTATCACGAGCGGTCGCGGTTTTATTTATTTACTCTTTCGACCGTGCTAGGAGTGCGCGTAATATTGTAGTGCGACAGTCGCGTAGTTTAAAACACACCCGCGAGACCGATTACCGCATAATAATAATAATAATAATAATAATAATGACAACGCGACGTGCAGCGCATAGTTCTCCCCCGAGTTCCGATCTGCATACGACAAATTTATATATTCACCAGTGTACGCCATTAGAAACAATTTGAGGTTAATATAATATTTTAACTTCACGTTATTACTTATCACACGATATAGTTTACGTGTACAGCCGGCGGCGTGCCCGGGATTTTTCAACGGGGGTAGTGGGAGGGGAGATTAAACAAAGTAAACCAGAATTTGATATCCGTTACCTTATTCCAGGTCGTTATTATACCATATCCCGTAACCACAATAACCTCTACAAATAATTGATACTACACAAAATGTTTCTTCAAAATCGTTTTCAGAAATATCATGGTTTGTACTTGTATTTTTTATTACATACCATTTATACCGTAACACGGCCAATGAGGGGGTGGACCTCCTGGGGTAAACAGCTGTCCTCATATTATCGTCACATTCCTCTTGGCAAAAAAAAAAAATATGATATGTTTCAGTGAATTGTTAAGTATACCTATTATTATTTGTAATTTAAATATTTCATATAAACTCAGTACCACTTTATTCTACCAATATTTTTAATAATATTCAACCTGTAGTTATTTACACATTACAAGTCGTCATTGTAATATTCTTTTTCCTAAACGTTTTCCAATATTATTTTTATCCAAATATTATTATCATTAATTTTTTTTTCAACCCGAATGTTGGTTTATAACTCCAACTCTCCATTCTGACCGTTTGCTCACTCTTTCATTAAGTTCCTTAAAGGATTTGACTCTTATTGTATCACATTTAATTTGTCCTATAATATGAGAGTTTCATTACAATTATTATAATGCTGATACATTCAAATATTTGTTTGCTTTTGTACATTTATAATGAATAATATATATATATTTTTTTAATTTTTTTTATTGTAGAATTTAAAAATAACAGTAAAACATTTTATAACTTATTTATGATCATAAACTAAATGTCTACAAAAAATAAAAAACATATTAGGATTGTATATAGTTTGTATTATGAATATACATCAAAGTATAAATAAATGAATAAATGTTTATGTTTGTCTTAAATAATATATATTATAATAGGTATGTATAGAAGTTCTTGTCATGGTGCATAACGTCGTCGTTGACTCTACGAGGTTTTTTGGAGAGCTTCCAGTTCGCTCTGAAATGTAATATAATAGCAATAATTAACAAGTAACCAGAGTTGTTTTTTTCCTCTCAATAACTTTAAGTTTCCCTCAAAAAGTGCCTCCTACACGATCAATAGCCAATATTAATATCTACTATATTATTATGACCGCTATCTAATTTATTATGAATTATGATAACATCATAGATTGTGTACGCAAGCGTTCAATAAGCACTGTTAAAATGTATAATGTACGGTTGCATGGAAATGTTAATAATTAATAATTATAATACTTTCGTGTAAAGAAATTATTCTTGTGAAATAGATACTTTACGCTAGGCAAACGAAATATTCTGCTTATAATAAGTACCTATACGGTTTTAGGTTTCACACTCGATAATAACGTTATTATTTTATGAATAAATATATTACTGAAGCAGCACGGATATTGCACAAGTACTTAAATTCGTGATTTCCGACGGGAGAGCACGATATCGTATAAAGTTAATGGCGTATATTGCTACCCAGTAATATATGTGCCTATATTATATTACACGATCAAAGCAGTAATTTTAAAAATGTCTGAACACTTATGAAACTATTATAATAGTTAACATATTTTCATTTACCGGACATAATAATATAATAACAATTTATCGTCGTCGTCTGACGTTCTGGTAGAAAAAAAATAGTAGTAAGAAGTGTATAAAATATTATTATTTCGTTCACACCTTGACGCCGTTCAGATGATCGATCAGGCTTTGAATGATGACGTCTTTCACGTAGCCGGAAACTTCCTTTTTAAAGTCCACATCGTCGTCGCCACCCTCGTCCGCCAGATGCGTGGCGCACACGATTATGTACTTGATGGCGCACTCAAAGGCCCAACGCAATTTCTTGGCGTTTGGACCGCCGCCCGCGTGATGGTACTTGAGATCGACTTGGTACTTGGCGGCGTCAGCCCATTCGCCGGCGAACGATTTGGCCCGCTCGTTCACGCTGGATTTGTCGGATACCTGTGCACGGTGGACGGTGATGAGGTGAGGGGAGGAGACAAGACTATACGGTGGCAGGCAGGAAATACATTACTTTAACGGGGATGTATCGTGAACGCCCGTAAAATTATTGGCAGAAAACATCAAAATACGCGGGACAGACAGACAGACGGGACCACGGTAGTCCGCATCATCACGAGTATTGCCGCAGCGACCACCGCGTTAACCGCGGTAATCGTCTGCGGTAATCGTTATGGCAATATATCAATTATTCGGGTGCAGTTGTACCTGTTTCACCAGAGCGTCCATTAACGACTTCAGGTTTCCTTGGAACCCGTCGAGACCCTTAACGGCGATGTCCAGCGTGCTTCCACTGTCCTGCACTCCCAAAGTGTCAAACACTTCAGCGGACAATTGTTTAATGGTATTCTCGTATTCGGTAACCCATTCGAAATGAGCGTTGTGCTAAAATAATATTTTGTTTTTAATTAGATGTTCTGCTAGTATATAAATAGTGAGAACACAATAACATTGTAAAAAATAATAGTAATATCTTTTGTAGCGTTATAGCATTAACAATAATTATCATTATACCTACGTATGTAGTCTGACATTAAATATAGCTATGGCTGGTTACGAATGCGGTAAACGAACGATTAAAGAGAGGGTGTAAAAAATGTGTAATGAAAACGAAACCGGTGATTATATTTTATTTTACTGGCGAGTGGCGGAAAATCCGGGTGGTTGACTTGTGGTAAAAATACCAAAAGACAACGACTATATTTATTAAAACAAACGTCGTTATTAAGTGAGTATATAATATTATTATTACAGACTTTAAACAATTTGAACTTTAACGCGTTTCGGAGAAACGTAAGTCGTAACTTTTTTTATCGCCTATTCGTTGAATGATATATTTTACGTACACGATGCTGACAATAACAATACTATAATAGTGTAGTGTTTTATTTTCGAGTATAACTTTAAAAATAAATATACGAAATGCCGTAAAAGTGCACATACAACACTGTCAATTTGCTTTGTATAATACTTAAACCTTGGCACATCACAAGAATTTAATATTTGTATCTACGCATCAAAAAACATTGTAACAATAATAATATCACATGGTATAATCGTCAAAATAAAAAAAAAGAGATATTTAAAACGAGCGGCTATTTATTTTTGGGCTTTATCGATTGTCTCTTAAACTGCGGATGGCTGCTCGTTTCATTGCACGACGGGTTCGTTGATAACGAAATAAAACGATTAAATGCATTACGCGTTTATCGTTTTTTCATTTATAATGTCTGTTGGTGGAAAACTCTCTAGGACCTAATTATAAAAAAATATTCATCAAACGCGTATTCCCAGTCTTGTGATGTCAGCAGACCGTATTTACACCGCTGTACCTCATATATCTCTGATTATTGTTAGTTAAGTATGCTATTATTTTTCCCATCATAAAATTTTCTCAACTAAAGAAAAACACCAAATATCAATGTACCACAATCCGTAAAAAACTATCTACTACAATCGAACTATTGGTAACAGTTTTAATTAATTACAATTCGGACGGGGAATCACCTATACACGAGGTCTCCCTTCCACATCGTATCTCTAGTCACAAAGTCTACTACAGAAGTCATAAATGACATTATCACAATGACCCTGTAACACCATCATAATACCTTATTATTCAGAAAAAAACAGGTAAACAAAGCGGTCAATAAAGTATATACCTAATATCAATTCTCCGACCAGTGACACTGATCCTAATACAAAATATGAATAATGATCTGTCCAAAGAAAAATAATTTGTTTCCTTTCTATAGGTGAGCTAAAATCTTTTTTTTACTACAGTCATCAGCAAGTCAATACTTAAAAATGACTAATAACGTAATACCTAATATCCAATATTTCCCTTTGTCTTTGAATATTATTTGCAAAAAAAAAAAAACTCAAATAGAAGAAATCAGATATCTATTGAAATCTTAATATGATGTTATTATTACTTATATCTATAATCTATGTATATTTGTCAGGTTATATCAATGGATATTTTTATTATATAATATTTTTTCGATTAAATTAAAAGTTTAATAAATTATAATAAAAAAACACGGGTATTTGCGGCGAGCATCTGAGAACACATACCACGTACATGTTATGGACCACATACAAGGCATAAGGTATTATTATGATAATACAACTTATACTCAACTCCCGAAAAATCTTTAGTTGTTTAGAATAATGTGATAGGTGACATACCTAGTACCTACGTACGTATAACAAATCTAGTTAACACCTATGAGATTCAAAAAAAAAAAAAATTCGTGGAAATATTTCGTTTTTGAATCATGCACAAAAATATGAAAATAGAACAAATGTAATATTATGTAAAAAAATGACCACTGCTTTTTGCAGCTAGTACCTACGCGTAGTTACGCAGAGGAATAATGCAATTCGTTATAGGCTATTAGATTGCATGAACTCGAACTGTTTGAAAAAAAACAAACAGGTACATACAGCGTATTCTATGGTCGGAATTAATGTTTTATACGGTAATCCCCCAATATACTAGATATTATAATATTACAATGCTCGCGTATTGCTGGACTGAAAAAAACAAATGTCGACTATATAATAATGTAGTTGTCTATTAAGTACATTTAACAATAGTTATAACATAATCTGCAAAATATGTATTTACTTTGAGTTTAAGCTCTTTTCGTGTGCACTAAATAAAGTACTTATATTCTAAATTATTATGTATACGGTTTCTCGGTGATCCGACCGGACCAGCTCGGAATATTTGCTACGACTATAATATCGTTATATACGCGTCCCTCGCACTCTCTCTCTCTCTCTCTCTTTCTCTGTATCTTCACTTTACCCTTCTCTCTCTCTCACTCTTTCAATCTCAATATGTATGTACACTGCGCAAGTATGGTGGACAAAAGGTTTACGGTTTACCGGCGAACCCCTGGATGTGCTGTGGTTCACGAGTGACCCACTCGCCCCACACCGTTCAGTTTCCTCTCCGCGTTCCACGCTAAGCCGTAGCCGGACGGTGGATATTAATAATCGCAGACCAACGGCAAACCGATTGGGTCGGATATAATATATACTTTCGGATTTGCATCGAACCACTATTACAACAATAGTAATATATATATTTTTTAATAATATACGTTTATTCAACGTGAATAGACTGCAGTGTGTATACTTGCCGGTACGTCATGTACTATTGCGCACGGGAATCCATCTTCAAATTTAATATTATAGTAATTTATATACATTTCTCGGTATGATTTAAATTTTGAATTCAAAATCCGACGACAGAAAATGTTCCGGCCAATTATTATATGATATTATACGTTGTAACTCTGTCCGAATATTCATTCTATTTTCAGATTTACCAGTTGTGCGTCTCCGGAAAGTAGATATTATATCGTTATTTTCGGCCGCCCACGAATTGAACGACACATGCATGTTATATAATAATATTTTATAATTAAGCTTGCTAGCACACAGATTCAGTATAAGATGATTGACAATAAGTTATTGGGCTTTTTGTGCATCATAATATACTTAATGACACTTTAGTTTCCGGTCGCATTCTTCCTGACTGCTGTTTTTCAAAACGTCAATCATTTTTATAACCTCTCTATCCGCGAGAAAAGTTAATCCTTCATGAGAGTTGACTACAATATAAACACCATCAATTCTCAGCTCACAATATTATTATGTCCATCATTATAATGAACTCGGACTTTGTAGTTGTTGTTGTTAATAGTAATAATATGATATATTATATTATGTAATAATAAAACGGGCTTAGAAGTCATAAGAAATGGCTACGCGTATGACCGCCGAATATCAAAATATTTGGAAACCTACAAAATCTCTCGAATTGTTTTTGAATCAAACTTCGACAGACTACCTGCAAGTTGTGTCTGGGCTTAAAAACAGAGTAGATAGTGCGTTGATAATTTACACGTCGAGACTGACTAATGGCTAATTGCATTGACTTGTGTGATTTTACAAAAAAAACCAGTCGAATCTGCACTGTATATTAAACTAATTGACTTTAAAATAATGTACATGGGGCATAAAGGTATTCTATGTGGATGGTATTTTTAAAATTTAAATTCAATTAGCCACGGTAACTACCCGAAATGCTATTATTTTCAAAAAATAAATGGTTTCTATAAATCAATCATTATCCAGTCTCGTACGTTGTGGAACGTTTCCGGACGTCGGTTGCAATCGCTATTTGAACAGTACGTGAATTATCAAATAAGAAGGCATTTTTTTAAGCTTTATCATGAGTGCATGGTAGTAGGCATGGTTTAATATATAAGACTATTCAATAATATTCACCCCTTCTAATCATCAAATATTTGAAAAACAGAAGTGTTAGCATAAAGGGAGCGAATAATATAATAATTGTGTAAATATTAAATGTGTTTAGTCATCATTGTACTATTACGTATATTTTAATATTTTATGTCCATTTGCTATTTATTTTTGAATATTTTTTTCTATAATATTATTATTATTACTATATCCATGGTCTTTTCATATGATATCAACATAATCTATATGTTATTTAATATATAAAATATTGTACCTAACTAATATGACTTCTAACTCAAACCAATAACATAGCTTACACAGAGTGAAGATTTCAACATACACTCAAATACTTTATTTGTAGTGTTAGTTTTGATAAATATAATAAATAAATAATAATCAAAAAGTATATGATATGGTATGAAATATGGAGGAATAATTGTCTTAGAGGTTTTAAGGGTACACAAAATTGATAAATTCTGTGAAATCCCGTTAAGTTAGCAGTTGGTATCTGATGATAATAATCCTAAATGCAATAACCTGGACCTACTTCAATCATGGTACCTAGTTAAATAAGGGTCATCCTGTAACACTTGAGTATATGAGAGCATTGAAACTCTATACAGCAACTAAACTCATTAATATAATTTTATTTGTACCGCCACCGTCACCGCCAAACTGTATTTACGGCGTTTTATTTTGAATCTGACATTTGATTGAATGCCTATTCATAGTATTATTAATATTACTTCTTTATAAAATATTACATGAGTGTTGTAATGCATGGTGCTGTACTCGTAAATAATCGTATTAATATAGGTATACTTATAATTAACATCCGACTTCTAAACTTGGTAGTTCTTAGAAATGGGGAAGGCTTTAACATAACCTAACCACTCAATTTTCACTCGATAATTATTAAATACAAATCACGGGTTTACTATTCCCAGAAATTCGATTAAAAAAAAAAAGGAGTGATATCCCAATCGAGACCGCACTCCGTCAACTCTGTGCAAAAACATCAGAGTTAAAAAAAAAAGTCACCCAAGGTACAAAAAAAAAAGTTTGTGATCAAAAAAGCTGAGCAATTTCTTAGAGTCATACTCTATATTTAATGGTAGACGGGAAAAAAGCCCAGAAAAAATTAAATATAAATGTGAACACATGTACCTATACTCTACTCCTAATTAGTAATTAATAATTCATAAACTACAGTAGCCAACTCAGTCAATTTTATGAGCGGATACTCAATAAATAAGAAACTTTTTTTTACCTATTTATTCAACGAAAAATTTCAAATATAAATAATTGTATATCTGAACATGGATTATGCTTAACTGCTAATTATATATATAAAAAAACCAACTTATAAGTTATTATAGAAAAAAAAACAAGGTCTAAGTCAAAAAACATTAGGGGTATAAGTATAACATCTTATTTATATATATTATACTACATTTATGCAAACATTACACATGTTAATTATATTTATGTCATTATTTTCATTATAATGTATGATATTTTGTTATATTTACACGCCACACAGTAATTACTAATTTGGAGTAGAGTATACACGTGTTCACATTTATATTCAATTTTTTTTTCTTTGCTTTTTTCCGCGATTCCTGTTAGTATAGTGAATTATTTATAATTGTTTGTCTTTAATCAAAGTGCGTGTTTATTTAATACAAATAATTTAACTCTGGTGGCTACTGCTATAGTATGATGTATTTAAATAGTACCATAAAAATATACGATGCCGGGACGTGAATATTCATGTCGACTTGGATACATTGTATAATTAGTTGCAGAATCATAAATAATAGTAATCGCCAAGTCAAGTTAAATTATTTGTATTAAACTAACACACTTCATTAAATACAAAGCAATTATAAATAGGTGCTGGTATATAGTAATGAATTTATGAAACTACTAAGCCCTTAGCCCCCCTTTTTGGTGTCAAAACTTTTTAACTTGAGTAAATTTTTTATAATTTAGAGATGTCTTTACACGGAGTTGAAAGAGTGTTGTTGCGATTTTAGTTAGATTAAACGGCGTTTTTTCTTATAAAAACCATATGGGCGGGACTGTTGTGAGGTCGTAACATTGGCGCCACGATTGTCAAGGACAATGGAAACGTTGTTAAGTTGAAAACGTCGTAGAAAACATTGGACAATTAATAAAATTATAGGCATACAATAATAATGACGTAATTTTGAACAATACTTTCGGATAGATATTATGGGTATAACAATATTATGATATTTTCCATTAAATTCTTGGAAAAAATTACGGGGAAAAGTCGATAAACGCACGCCAAATAATCAAATACCTACAGCTGCTATTTACGATTGAATGGTCCACGGTACACGCACGTACCTATATCTGTGGAGTTATATTTGCAGTCAATCGACATTGTTAACATTTAGCAATAAATCGCTTCCGATCGACGTGCGTTTCCGGGATTTCGATCATGGAATATCGTACAGTAGCATTACAATAATAATATAATAACGCAATAATAAATAACACGGATGTGCTGCACATTACATGTCTACGGTTGTTTTTTGTTGCTATTATTGTCGTGCACCTATAAATAGTTTTTTCAGTTCTAAAGCGGGACTTGATTTAAAATAATTTTTATTTAATAAAAACAAATACTGAGACATACTCAAAAGTACGCGTTATTACTTATTGGGTTTCGAATTCGGTTACCAAATATAACGTACCCTGTCGACCTCGTAATCCCCACCTCCCGTGCAGCTTGAAGCAACACAATATATTAGTTCGACGAGTGATCACGGATCTTTGCAATTATTATTTTTTGGTAGTGGTGGTTACGAACGCATTATACTCGGTGCTTGTATTGGGAAGGGGGGATTCATTACCTGTTCATTAAAAAAAATGTTAATTATTCGTACTCCATCTTAGTATGTCTATCCTAATCAATAAGTCGTAAAAATATAATTCTGGTAGGTACGCACAACTGTTTGCAGCTTTGGGTCTCCCTCCCAATTTGTTCCTACAGTTGAAGCATTAGATTTATACCGCGGTTGGGCGGTTGGTACCGGAGGAGTATACCGTTCGTTATCCTGCCTATTATGAACTATACTATATCACAAACGAAGTGAATTGGGATTCGGTAGGTATTCGATACAATTTAGTAATTAAGTAACAGTCGTATCGATAAAATCTACAAAAATATTTTATCACAATAAATTATTATAACAACATGATAGTACAGCTACGTATTTTATAGAATGCACTTACTTTTACGACTTCGTAGTCGATTCCTTCCAGACACTTGACACTGTCGGGCACGCAGGTGGTAGACATCGTATAGGTAAAACAGAAACGGACAGCAAAAAATAACTAAAAAAAACTAGAGCGTTACGATAACTTCGGTGCAGATGCGTCCAACTGATGTACAGCCGGCAATACGACCACTGCGATAGTGCGACATTCGTGCCGCCGACGAAACGGAACGGCGGCGCCACTTAATATTATTTCAAACACAACTCTATGTGTGCGATGACGTCAGTGACGTCGGTAGTAACCGCGACCTTGGTAAGCGGCGGCGGTGGCAGCGGCGATAAAAATAGACACATTAATAATAAATGATTACAACGGCAATACAATACCGGGCGTATCGGCACTGTTATTTAATCATTTTTATCCCGCAAAACGCGGTAGGTATAATAATATTATATAAATTACGATCCAACGGTGATTCATGTTAATATCGTTGGTCATACAAAGTCCGAGGCGTGGACCAGCAGCAGCAGTAATTAAAATATTCTGTATAGTATACGTTATATTTTTAATTTTTTCGATTTTCACCCTCTATTTACCCAAGTCCAAAAAACTTTGATTGGGTTCCTCACGTTTCGTTTCAATTTATGTGGTAGAGAGGGCGGTTGTTACAGATTTCCTGCAAAAATGTACCTTTTCGTTTGCCGTGTACCGCGTATAGTGTATAGTGTATAGTGTATACGCTATTCCGTTTTTAATCGAAACAATAGTAGTTGCAAGTTTGATTAACCCTTAATTATGTAGATTTAAAAAAATTAATTTTTAATATAACTTTTCTTTAAATTAAAATAGTTGAGTAAGGGAGCAATCAATTTGCCCGTCAGGTAATAATGGTTGCATTGAAAACTTTTTTTAAAATCATACATAATTATGCGATAATACTAAATGTTATTTATATTAACATTTTATACAAAACCCACAGTTTTAATTGCTACTTTGAGATCGATAAGAAATATAAATTTTTAAACTCTTAGCTAATTAAAAATGTACAGACAGCTTATAGTCATGTTTACCGAAAACATAAAATAATATATTATAATAATAAATTGATTAGTACTTCGGGCCACCGATATCGTCCGCGGCGTGTGCATCGACGACGTTTGATTGCATAGTAGCCCAGCTGATGATAATATTATGCATAGTTAAGGCGGTGGCGCTGACTGATTTAATATAAATTATATCAATCAACTGACGGCGGTACGAAACACTACCTAAAATAATATACAGTGCGACCGGACACTCTCGGACACTTTTGCGATTTTGTCCGCTATTCAGAAAGTTGGGATTGTAGAAAGTTGGATCTCGCGTTAACTCCCCTATTGGGAGGTGTCTGTTAGAGAAAGTTTCACTGTATGTGATAATTTTCGAGCAAAAAAGCGATCCAAACCAATTGTGACGATAGACTTTGCAAGCACAAGTGCTGTAAAACTCCAAAAATAATAAGCCCCTCCCCCCAAAAAAACCACATACGACTTCGACGATCGTGGTGAAAGACAAAACAGTCCTTCTCCCCTAGCCAACGATAGTAGACGAACAGGCGTCAACTTAACGCATGGGATGCAGCGTCTGGCCAAAGTACATAAACTGGCTATACCATAAACCGGCGTGACGAAATGGGCGAACCAGTGACACGATAAAGCACGCGGTTCCGGTTACCGCGCGAGTGACCAAAACGTAGTTCAACCAAATTATCCTGGCGTGACGGCTAAGACGCAGCTCTGACGGCGGGTGGGGTGCCGAGGAAAATATTTTATTTCGTTCTCGGAGATTTCGGCTAATCTATAAAAATCAGAAGAGCAAATAAAAAAAAAATATATAAAATTTATTTCGGGACAAAAATCTCCTGTTACAACTTACAAGTACCAACAGCAGTCTACAATTAATACGTTTGGTCTTATGTAAAGATAACTGCGGTATCTAAGGAACTAAGAATAAAATCGAAAGTTCAATATGCCGAGCGATGGGTGCCACAGCACCCACCCTCACCCACTAAATCCGACACTGAGTCCAACGGTCATGGCGCGACGGCTCGGACGTACAGCGGGCGGGGTGACCAGGAAAAAGATCTCGGAGGTACCAGCTCTACATCTCCTGTCTCTATCTCTCACTGGTGCTTGTCGGCAAGACACACAAACCAGCCGTCAGTTCGGAAAGCTACAATATTAACTTTGTTTCCGAATAAACCCTAAAGGTATGCATAATATTATATTTTATACTTTAATACAAAATTATATAATGTCGGTTTTTTAATTAATGTAATAAAAACGGTTATGTAAGTTCGCTTGATATTCCTGAAATACTTCATAATAATATCTGTTACCACGAATAAGAAAATGAATTCGAAATAACAAAAAAAAAAAATATATATATATAACATTTAATATTTCAATTCTTATTTCTTATAAGTTATAACAAGCTAGGAGTTACTAAAATCTATTTTTTCGTTTTGGTAGAAAATGGAAGTGAATATTATTACATTATTGTGAATGGCTTTAAACACAGTATAAGGTCGTTTTTGTTGGAAAAAGCCGATGCCATATTTACGTGAAGTATATATACTGTCAAAACTATTTCCAAAGTTATTTATATATATTTTTTTTTTTATTAATTTGTAGCCAATTTAAAATTGTATACGCGAATTTTTCAAATGCTTTTTTTTAAATTAATCTTCAAGAACATTCCAAACATATTGATTTATTTTCTTTCTTTTTATTTTTGACATTTATTTTTTATGTGCGTGTACCTAGGGCATCCCATTTTCCGATATTATTAAGTGTTTTAGGTCAATATTATTCCGAAATCAAACTTTTTTTGACGTTTACATTACACGTTACACATTTATAGTAAAAAACAATGAAGCTATAATAAATGATAGAATAATCAAGTTGATTAAAACAACATCGTATAGTTAATTTGTAGTTAATTCATAACAAAATACAGTTGTTGTACCTATACTCTAACTGTAAGTTATAACATAATATATAACTATACAAAAGAGCAATAAGTACAAATAAAATTAACTTGAAAACGAATATGAAATTATGAAATAAATTACAACTTACATTTTTGACGAGTTAAAATTTAAAAAAATGTATGGATTCACATAATATAGTAAATTGACATCTAAAAAATATTTTTAAAAAATGACCATTTTATTTATTTTTGTAAAATAATAACCCTCATCGGTATTTGTGTTACATTATTTAGTTCATATTATATTATATTGCAGGTACCTACTTATTATAAAAAAGTTTCAGATTGATTTGTATTGTTTATTTTCTGCCTACTATAATATTATTATGGAATCGATAGCCTTTATAGGCAATCACCATAGGAATTGATTTTAAAAATATGGAATCGATAATTATTCCCTGATTAATTGACGAACTAAGTTTTAAAATAATTTTTCCGGCTTGAGTACTGACCATTGTGGGTAATATAATTACAGTCACTGAGAGATAGGATGTTGAAATCGCAGGTAATTGACAGTAGGGAGGAGTGATAAGATTTTGTTTACGAATCATATAAACGTCTGTCTGGGCTTTAGTAATAATTATTAATAAATTCACGGAGAGGTATGAAAGTAAATAATTTAAATAATAAAATATGGCAATAATACTGCGGCGGTGTACCTGTCCACACTAGATTTGGGTAATTTATTATTTTTAAATTTATTTTCCGTGACAGACTATGAAAATAGGTATACTATTAAATTCAGAACCTGAGAGTTAAATTTGGAAAGGAACGATTGACGGTGAGCGTATATATACGTACGACTGTTCGAAGCGACGTCCGTTTAGACAATCTAACCTTTTTTACCCTTTCTTTTTCATCCCCGCACGAAACCGAGAGCGCAAGAATCGATACGATAGATTCGGGAAAACGGTTATTGCTGCTGAATCGATACACGTGCTGACGACGACTCGGCTGGATAAACGGATAATATTCGAAAATGCCCCCAAACGTGCCCTGCCGCATTTTATATAATATACCTTTATACGGTATACGTGGAATAATTTTTTTTTCACCGCTTTTGGCGAGAGTTGTTTGTTGTTCAGTTTGTTTGTTTGTTTTTTATTTTGTTTGTTACGAATTTCGTCGATTTCTCCGCGACGCCGAGAGAGCGGCTACCGTGCGATGACAATAATAATAATAATAATAATATTTCTACCTGCACCACTCGGTACGGTTCGACGGTAATTGGCTCATTCGCAGAACACTGCTGCATTAGTCGTATAATTATAATGTGCCAGTTAAAACAATATAATATACAAATACCGACGACGTGAAAATAAGAACTCGTAGCCAGGAAGGTCCCTATTTGTACCTACAGTAATAATAATAATAATATGATTATTATGACGTGTACGCATCACAAAAGGGCGGATTAAAAATGTGTAGGTAGGTATATACCTATGTACGTAAATACGGGGAAAAACGAATTAATCCATCGAACGACTCTGACTTAATATGTTATTCGAGCATAAACGTCATTATTCCGCCATATAGACATTGCCAACGCGTTATTATAACATCATGCGAATACACAATATTATTATAATTATAATATTACTCGCATCCGTTTTCCTACGGATGTGGGTAGGTAGGTTAGGGTACTATTGGTATGCGGTTGTGTGGCGGAAAGTTAGTTTTCGAATCGCGAACATTCCGTAAACATTAAAAATTCATTTTTGTTTTATAAAACAACATTTTAAGTGCCTATATACGAGTTTTCCGTTCTTGTTTTTTTGTTTCTCGACATTGCAGGTGGTGACACAGTAATTTTCTAACAATATTTAAGACACAGAATAGGTAAAACGGGAATGGACACACCAAAAATATACAGTTTTCAAAAACAAGCCTTAAACAATTAGTTGACTTACGAACAAACTGAAAAAAAAACAACTGTAACTCAGAGTGGCCGTCTGCAACATGAATTAGAACATTTTGTTGCGTGGCTACACTGGCACTTTAACTGTTCACGGTTTTTGGAGAGTGTCCATTTTGATTTCGGCTATATTGTGTATAAGGCATAGGGACACAGAGTAACCGTTTCTCTATGGTACAAGGTACTTAAGTACCTAACAATACCTGTACGTCCAATATTATATAAGGTTAGCAGTTATCCACTCTCTCACTGTAATATAATATGTAAGTTCTTTGACAAATATGT